TGTGCTTCTTGTCTGCATGGCAGGAACTGTTCTGATTTGCCACATCGTCTTTGCTGTGATGGAGATTGAAACCACTGAAACAGTTTGCACTGAAACAGTGAGCTGAAATATATCCTTCCTTTTTTAACTTGTTAGCATTAGGCATTCTGTAATAGCAATAAGAAAACTAACACGCCTGGGCAGGTAGTTGGGCCATTATAGATGGTGGTGGGTCTGGAGCCTCATATAGACACCCAGGTGAATGTCAGTTGCTATCTTCCTCCACCATGGTAATCATTCTCCTCTACTACTTCTATGTCCTGGGCCCCAACAAACTTTGTGCCTGTCCTACTTTCCACAAGCACTCTTAGTTCTCTATGAGGTCCTGGTGCTGTGAGCCCAACCACCACAGCCTAGGAGTGTCTCTTTACTGCTTGGGCCTCTGCTCCAAGACATCAACCCTGAGCAGCCTCCTCATAGCACAGGCCTCCCTCAGGTGGGCACTCCCACAGTCTCCATGAAGTGGGCCAGTTTGGCATAGAAGCTGCTCACTGGTGTCATGGCAGCTGTGTTGCAGATCAGCTCAGAGATTCTCAGTCATCCTAGACAACAGCAGGCCTCTGAGTTAGGGAATGGAGCTGCAGAGCATCTCTGCTGCAAGGCAGACTAAAACAAATCTTTAATATCAGGGCAAGAGCCCTGTCCCTTTTCTGTTCCAGCAGGGAGGTGAGGACCCAGGTGATAGCAGGTAAGTCCGACAGTTCCTTCCAGCATCGCCTATGAACAGTGAGTTTGTGATTTTCCCTCCTGGAGAGGCACAACTGGACAGAAGATAGCTGTGCTGGAGTGATCTTTGTCAAGAAATACAGTTTTACTCTGAATTACTCTGTCAGGAAGCCACCACCCCAAATCCTATCCTCTTCTATCTGTTGAAAATAATCTAGAACAGAAAACAACCAGGAGGATGGTATTGATGAGGGCGATTTAACAGCTGGATGTATTGGAATCAATCCAAACATAATTGTACTCATGTATTCATGCTGAAATGAGAAAACAGGAAGTGCCCAGAGTCAAAGAAAGCTGCTGAGAGGCTCCACCTCTGAAGCCTGGAGGCCACTTAACATGCAGAGGACGACCCTGCAGTCAGATTGCACCTTCTGCTTGGCAGATTTATCTGGACTCTGTATGTGCACTTCACTCCAAACAACATGGACTTTGGAAATAGTTATCTTATTAAAATATGGGCCTTAACATTAAAAAAAAACAGGGCTTTCATATGTAAACTGGCACTATGGTTTGAATGTGAAATGTCCTCTACAGGCTCAGGCTTTGAATGCTGGGCCCTCTGAATGCTGTGGAACCTTTACGAGGTAAGACCTGGCTTGGGAAGGTTGGGAGGGAAGGTCTTCGAAGGTTACACCCCAGGTTCTGACCTACTTTCTCTATTTCCTGATCCATCATGATGTGAGGGCCTCCACCACATGCTCCTGACTCCACAAGCTCCTCCATGCCTTCCCACCATGATGAACTGAAATTCCTCTGAAACTGTAAGCAAAATAGACCTTTCCTCCATGAAGTTGCCTCCCTCAGGTATTTTGTCACAGTGACAAGAAGTAACTAACATAATTGGTTAGCATACAATTATCTATATTGCTTTTACAAATACTTCTCATCTTATTAGAAACACTATGTAAATATTCTGTATTTGTTTAAAAATAAAACAAAACCAGATTCTAATGTAATATGAAGCAATTTTTTTTCCTGCAAGATCTAAAACTGGATAAGATACAGTCACACTGCAGGTTGAATCTCAGCCCAGATACAATACACACTTTTGAATTTCAAGCTCTTCAATAAAAGAATTATAATCAGCCAAAGATGGTGACACACACTTTTACTCCCAGTAATCAGAAGGCAGAGGGCAGGCATATTTCTATGAGTGTGCAACTAGCCTGGTCTATATAGTGAGCTCCAGGCTAGCCAGGGCTACATTGTTAGACCCTGTCTCAAACCCAAAAAGTTATAAACAAATAGATTTTCAGGATGCAGAAGTTTAAGGGTAAAAGATAGAGCAACTAGACTTAACAGTCAACACTGACTTCTCTAGTTTAGGAGGAAACAAGTTTTTTTTAAAGAAGCATTTTTTAATTAGCTAGTTAATGAATATTGCTGTCACTATATAATTTAAGGAAACTACCTGATGTCTTCGATGGTGGGTTATTTTGACTGGATCACTACATCCCTTTATAAACACTATTCATGCTTGGTCTTACATATTCCTTACTGTGAAATCAGGGATTCCCCTGATGTATGGGGAACACCCACCTCACCTGAGGGAAGGACACGTGCCATCACACTCTGTCAATCTTTTCATTTTCCACTCAGCTTCTTTAGTGATTTTGTTATGGTAAATTTTACAACAGTAATTATTCACCTCATGGTTTTATTGTCTTTCAAGAGTCATGCCTCTGCCAGCCATAGCTTACCTCCTCTTTCCTGCCCCATGACCCTGGCCAAGGCCTCCATGTAGGTGTCAGTCATGTGCTCCCACACAGAGAGCTTATGCTAGCTGAATGTGTTCTCTACCTTCATGTTCACTTGCAAGGCAGCAGGACTAGAGTGAAGACCAAGCGGTAAGATGTTGTCTCAGGTCCTGTGACACAGCGCAGAGCTCATAAGTACCAAAGCACAGTGCGCAGACCTTCTGTGAGAGCTGACTAGAGGGTCCTCAGCCACGGTAGAAAGAAATACAGAACTGACTTTGCAGGCATCCACTTCATCAGTAGCTCCCATATCTAGGGCAGCATAGGACTACAGCCACAAGAGCCATTTCTTCCTCTCTGCTGACCCGCCTCAATGGACAGTCTTCTGGGGCAGCTGTGGGCTCCCACATCTACATTTTTTTCCTTTTCCATGTCCCGTGGTTATTTGTTTTTGTTTTTGTTTTTGTTTTTTTAGCAAACTCATCATTCAGAAGGAGAAAAATATCCAGAATTTATAAAGAATTGCAAAAATTAGATACCAAAAGCTAAAACTGCTGATCGATAAATGGGCTAATTAAATAACAGACAGTTCTCAAAAGATGAAACACAAATGGCCAATAAGTATTTTAAAAGTATTCAACATCACTAGTCATCAGAGAAATGCACATTGAAACTTCTTTGAGATACAGCCTGACCTCGGTTAGAATGACTATCATCAAGAAATCTGACAACAAATGTTAGCGAGGATGTGGGGAAAGGAGCCCCTGTTCACTGCTGGTGGGAATGAGGGTGAAGGCAGTGATAACTGCTTGTTCTGGGATGCTGCTTGTCTGGGTAGGCCTGAGCCTGGGTGATGTGAACTAGGAGTATGCGGCCTTTTGCTTTGTAAGTCACAGAAGCCAAAATTTTAATTACCAAAAGCTATATTAAACTGTTAAAGTGAGAAGTTAAAGTGTCTTCTATTAACAAGCATGAATCTTCTTTCCTGGAATCTATCAGGTAGCTGGCTGTTCTAGATTGCTTTCTGTTACTGTAATAAAACACTGACCAAAAACAACTTGGGGAGGGAAGTGGTTATTTGGCTCACACTACCACATCACAGTCCATCTTTGAAGAACCAAGGCAGGAATTCAAGGTAGGAACCCAGAGGCAGGAACCCAAGCAGAGACCATGGAGGAATGCTGCTCATGGGCTAGTTGCTCCTGCCTGCTCAGTTTTTCTTATGCAGCCCAGACTGATGGAATGTGTGACTTGCAGGAGAACCATAAACTTCCTAAAAGGAAGCCATAGGACATAAATTCCTTAAGGTGGCCAAATGTCCAAATTGGCAGCTTGGCCTTTGCTCAAGCTTTGTCAGCTGGCCACTTCCTGGGCTGACAGAGACTGTTTTCAGGGCAGACTTACCTCCTTTTATGCCATAAGATAACTTGCCTGCTCATCCTGAGGAAATAAGCTTAGGAAGAAGACTCTCAATTCCCCCAAGGACATTTGTACTGAGCAAATTTCTGCAGCTGTGTTCAACAGAGTTCCTATATAAGTCCAGATTGATGTGCCTTTCTTTGCAAATGCCTGTTTTCCGAGGAGGCTTCAGCACTTTGCTGTGTTCTTACAATAAAAGAGAACACATCCCTTGCCTGTGGCAGATCTGGCTGACTCTTACTTTTAAACTCCTTCCTTTTTCTGCTCTCCTAAACAGGCCGACCTGCTCAGGCAGGGATGGCACTGCCCACAATGGGCTTGGCCTTTCTACATTAATTAACAATTAAGAAAATGTCTCACAGATATGCCTACAGACTACTTTGATGGAGGGAAAGCCCCAACTTCTTCCCAGGTGACTCTAGTTTGTGTCAAACTGATAAACACCAACTAGCACACTGGCCATGTAAGGGTGCAATTATAGTAAGACGTACTTTCGAATTGCTTATAGGTTAAAATTCTCCTTCTGCACCAATGCCTCTGTAGATAATAAGCCCACCGACCCTGAGGGAGGCTGGTCTCAGTGCTAAGAGGCAGATCCAGGTAGACAAGTACTGGGACCCTGGCCCCAGTGTGGGCTGCAGCACCTCCCTTCCTTTGCTCAGTTCTGAGGTCTTGGGATAGTGGAGGCATGACACAGAATTAAGCCTTGTGGCAAATAAACAATACTTGTGTTTCCTAGATATTCACTGTAAATTCTAGAATAAACTCATACTACGTCCCTTCCATGGGAGTCTTTGGGGAGATTCCTAAAAACAACTTGAGTCAACTCCTATTGGTAAGGTTGTACTACTAAGCAGTGGCTACTCTGAATTCTACCTTAAAACAAAGAATGGCACCTATTTTCCATGTAATCATGAGGTCCAGGGTGCAAGCACTTAGAGTGGGTACAAGGACAAAGAATGCATAGGGGAGGAAATATCAAACAATGCACACTTCAGTGCTTCCTCCAGAACTGCTTTGGGAACCTCGGATGGCCCTGGGCAGGTTTTTTCCTCAGCCTGTACCCCCAGGTAGCAAGGTTCAGGGGGATCATGAGATCACAGGAACGCACGTGCTTACTGTGTGGCTGCAGTGTCCATTCAGGTGCAGGCCACTGTCAAAGAGGGGCGAGGAGGCCCTGCTGCTGTGGTCACTGGATGGCCCTGGGGACCCTGAAACAAAAGGAGAGGCATTCATTCCAGATGGAGTTTACAGCTGTATTGTATGAAACTACATGACTGTAGAACAGCTACACACTGCAGCACCCATTGCCGGGTCTTCCCTACTTTCCTGGAGCCTTACCTCCCCAACAATGCTCCTGGAGGTAAGGGCCATGTGGCCCAGCTGCCTGCCTGTCATGTCACAGGCTGCTAGCCACAAGATACAGAACAGGGCTGTGCCTGTTGCAAGAGTGCATGTGAGCTTGTAGTTCCTCACCAGCCTCCCCTGTTATGTCACACTCCCTCTTTCAAAATGCTGGTCAATGGCTGACATTGGGGTTATTAATGCTGCAGAAAGGTGATATAAAAACACAGAAAATGCAGATGCGGACAGGGTGACCATGTGTCAGTCACACCATCATTGCCATCATTGTCGTCGCCATCATCATCATCATCATCACATCATCATCATCTATGTCATCTATGGAGCAGATGATGTGAGGATGGGTAGATTTTACTGCAGTGACTTTTGGCAGCTCAGTGTCCCACTGTCAGAGGAGATGATCTGATCCAAAGGTTTCCCGGGGCCGATATGGAAAGGCTCACCCTCAGCACACCCAGTTTAGAGACAGAGGTGCCCAGTAGCCACAATTCTCTTTGTGCTAGTTTGTTTTTAACTATCAACTTGATGCAATCTAGAATCACCTGAAGAAAGTGTTTTTCAGGCTGGCCTGCGAGCATGTGGGTTGGAGATTGTCCTGACTGTTAATTGAGGCAGGAAGATCCACCTACTGTGGATGGCATCATTCAAAGGAGAAAGCTAGCTGAGAGCAAGAAGCAGCAAGAGGAACAAGGATCTATACATTTATTCTCTCGGCACTCAACTGTGGATGTGATGCTTTGAGTGCCTGCCTTGACTGCCCAGCAATAACGGGCTGTAACCTGGAGCTGCAAGCCAAATAAAAGTTTCTTCTTTGTGCTGGACAGCTTTAGTTGTCAACTTGACACATCCAGGTAGAGGGAGCCTCAACTGGGGAATTTCCTCCATTGGACTGGCCTGTGGCCATGTCTGTGGGGCATTTTCTTGGTTGTTGAGTGATGTGGGAGGGTCCAACCCACTGTAGGAGGTGCCACCCCAGGCAGGTTGTTCTGTTTTGTATAAGAAAGCAGGCTGAGCATGGGCCAGGGAAGCAAGCCAGTAAGGAGTGTTCCTCCATGGCCTGTTGCTCCAGCTCCTGCCTCCAGGTTCCTGCCCGAGTTTGTACCTTGGACTTCCTCAGTAATGAACAGTGACCTGGGAGATGTAAGCCAAATAAACCCTTTCCTCCCCAAGTTGTTATTGGTCAGAGTATTTTGTCATAGCTATCGAAGGCAGACTAGAACATTCTCTAAGTTGCTTTTGGTCAGGGTGTTTTTATCATAACAGCAGAAATAAAATCAATAGACCTTTTAAATACAACCCTGCAACCAGCATTTGCACATGTTTAACAACCAAGTTAAACCTTAAGTGCTTCATTACAAGTTGTAAAGGGAGCTCTGGGGCCATTGCCAAGGCTTCAGGACATTTCCAAGGCCTGAAGACAGTGCTGAGAGAAAGACTGTGTTCTACGACTCCTTCTAGCCTCAGTATTTTCTGGTCATATCTGACTGAGAGCTGCTTCTGTGTGTGACATGGTGCCTCAGTTCCTCCTTTTTTGTGGTGATGTTTCAAAAGGTAGATGGTTGAACATCATTGCCTGACTGATAGATTCCCAGACAGAGCATCTGACAGTGCACAAGGAACTCCATAGCATCCCCAAGCAGAGAGACAGCCCTGAGGTTCGGCCTTCTGAACCCTAAGAGGAAGTGCTGAGGACAGCGTAGTCTCAGACCCATCACCAACTAACCATAAATCAAGGTGGGTGCACTATGCTACGGACAGACTAGAACAGGAGCGCATGACCTCCCTCACCAGCCACCCACAGGAAATGACAGTGAGAAGGGACTTGCAGAGAACTAGGTGGGTGCCACCCTGCATATCTGTATCTGGGATGCCCAACCGGGTCATCTTGCTCCTAGGGCTGTGATGAAGAGCAATGGCATGTGTGTACTGTCACACTGTGTACCTCCTCAGTACACATGGACACAGGTGCCTGATGATGAGGCTTCTGAAGCTAGTTGCTTAAATCCACCTCTGCACCCTCCAATGTGCATAGCCCAGGAGTCGACACACCTTGCTGTGCCCTTTTCCTATCTGCATAATGTCTGTGAGGACTGGTATTTCTACCAAGCACTTCGCCACATTCCTATATGGAAATCAAGTTGCTGAGAGACATAACTGTTTACCTTTATTTAAGCAAATACATTAACAGCTGAGCTTTTCTTTGCTAGTTCACTCCCATAGATGCATACAGTTACTGCCCAGTGGAGTTGATCCCAGTCAGGCTTTCATTACTTGTCTTTACAGAGTGTTGTTTTTGGAACAGCACCTGGCCTGTTCTCTTGGCATTTCCATGCACATTTTAGGACACTCCATGCAAAGTGTTTTGTTTATACCCATAATCAGCTTGTCATTATCTGGGAGAAAGATGAAAGCATTTTAAACTGCCTGCACCCTCCTAAAATCCCCAGGGTGATGCTGCTTCTCTGGGAGACAGAAGAAAAAAAATCTGTGAACACATGACTGAAGAAGCGGCAAGTAATAAATAAAGAGCTTTAAACCGACAGCCCTTCGCAGATACTGGATTCCCATTAATTAATTTCTCAAGGACTTACATCTTTGCTTCTGTACCCACAAAGAGAAATTTGAGTAGTTGTAATATCTTTCCTCCATTCGCCCCCAGCTTTTCCATTCTTTAAAAACTGGTCAGTATTAGTAATTATTTTCGTATGTGTGCATGTGTGTGTGTGTGAGTGTGTTCGTTTGTGAGAAGATGAATATGGCGATGTGCACACACGTGTACACGATTGTGTGGAGGCCAGAGGACAACCTCACCGGTACTTCCGCAGGAGCCCATTTACCTTGCATTTTGAGTTAGTCTCTCACTCATCTCACTTGATGAGTCATGTCAGCTCATCAAGTTGGCTAAACTGACCAGCCAGGGACCTTCAGGGTCCTTCTCTGCCTCTGCAGCACTGAGATTAAGTGCGTCCTACCACACCTGGATGTTTTCATGCGGCTTCTGGAGGACTGAACTCAAATCCTCATGTTTGGAAGGCACATGCTTTACTAACTGAGCTATTACCCCAACCCAGTACTAATAATTATTAGTGATATAACAGTTGTTCTAAAAATAAAGAAGATCAAGGCTTCAAAGATATCTCAGCTGTTAAGAGCACTGGCTGCTCTTCCAGAGGACCAGGGTTTGATTCCCAACACCCACATGGCAGCTAATGACTCTCTGTAACTCCAGTTCTAGGAGATCTGACAATCTCTTTTGGCCTCTGTGGGCTTTGTGAAACATGGGTGCATTTACATACATGCAAGCAAAACACTCATACACATAGATAAAAATTAATTAATTAAAAATAAAAATAAACATATTAGAAAATATATTAACTATAGTTTATAATCAGTTATTAAAAAACACCTTCCTTCAAAGACTGAACTATGATCTGTCAAGAGTACTTTGGGTCCAAAAAGGCCATGGTGGGAAGCATTCTGGTAAATATTCAAAGCTAAACATGCATTACCATAGGACCCAGCTCTCCTTCCCCTATGCAGAGACTCAACAAAGATGTCCAAACAAATCTTGATGATGAATGTTCACAGCAGCATAATTCATAACAGCCCAGAAATAGAAACAAGTGCCCATTAGCTAGAGCAATGTCCTACATCCATATAAAGGAGAATATGCAGCCAGTCAACCAGGAGTACCATGCAGATGCATGTGACCACACCAGTGAACTCTGAGAGCCTTATCCTAAGTGGAAGAAACCGCATGCCAAGGACACAAATTTTATGACTACATTTATATACATTTCCAGAAAAGGCAAATTCACAGAGGCAGAAAACAGTGGCTGCCAGAAGCTGGAGGAGAGAAATGGGGACGTATGACTGCTAGCAGGTACAGGGCTTCTTTTGGGTGATGGGACTGTCATGGGATTAATCAGTGTACAACACAGTGAAACACTAAAACCTGCAAAGGTATTACTTTCAAATGGTGAACTACCTGTGAACTTTATCAGTATAAAAAACAGCAAGTGTCTGAGCATCTGAAGAAAAGATGCATAGCTCTATTGGCTCAATCTCAGTGGGTATTTATTTTTCCTTTAATATAAATTTAAGAAATGCTGAAATGAACATTTTCTTTATAAATCTATTCGGATGTTTTTCCATACCAGTCATTGCCTCTGTGGGACAGATGTTGCTTCATACAGAAAAATGACCCAACAGTGTCTGCTCAGGCAGAGCAATTTTGCCTCAATGATGTGTACTCACTAGAGGCTGTTTTGCCTGGATTTATGGAACAATTATGGCCCTTGTGCTTACATTTTTATAGATACTAAGATTTTAACAGTTTTAGGCTGAGAAAACTAAATATAAAGAGAATGAATATTTGTAAAATTAATGGAGAACTCATCTTCCATCCCTGGTGTCTGGGGACACACACCTGTGTGATCTGAGTACCTGGTCACTATGACTTCTGTCCTTCAGTGTCCAGAGTCTCGTAAGGAATGCTGACAAACTTCTCAGCCAACTTTGTCCGGGTGGGTCCAGCCATAGAGGCTGAACTCTGCACAGGTCCTCAGCAATGGGTTCACAGGAAGTTAAGGTGTGTCTAGTCATAATGGCTGAGCTCTTCCCAGGTCCTCAGCAGTGGGGCTCAAAGGAATTCAAGGTAGATCCAGCCACAGAGGCTAAGCTCTGTACAGCCTCAGCAACAGGCTCACAAGAGTTCCTAGATAACTCAAATCTGTGGAACAAGTCCTCAGATTCTATAGGGCTCCTGGGTTTCAAGACCTCTTCTATCCTCAGAGGGAAACAACAGCCTCGGAGCTGTGATGGCATTTCTTCTTCAGCATACAGATGTTGAAATGCTTGTGGCTGTTTCAATTTTCTTGCTCCATTATACCATGCATTGCACCCCCTTCCACAGACATACAATTCACCATCTCTCTCTGTGCAGAGAGGTCTCTGACCCTAAATGAAGGCAAGAAAAGCCTGAACGAGTGTCCTGGCGTCTGTGTGGTTCTTGCTGACCACTGGGCAGGCTTATAACTATTCTTCACCTTTGAAGCACACAGACACACCTAGGACATACAGATAGGTCCTTGTGGGAGGCAAAAGACACCCATCTGGAGGTAGGTTGCTGCTTGTATAACAGTAAAATGTGAGATGGAAATCAGTACTCACATTATCCAGTCTCTGACATTCTTGGGGAGAATATTGGGGGCTGGACCGTCTCTCTTGTACCCCTCACCCACCATCACTTCTTGTGAGGAGATTTCTGCCATCCTCATGTGGTTTGAATATGTGTCCTCTAAAGGCCATATACTAAAGGTTTGGTTCCCAGTTTGTGGTACCACCGGGAGTTAGAGGAACTATGAGGAAAGGAAGCCTAGTAGGAGAAATCAGGTCATTGGTGGTGTGCCCTTTGTCTCTCTCTTTGCTTCCTGACCACCAATGTGAACAAGGTCTTTACCGTGCATGCCTACCATGGTGCACTGGGTTCCACAGGCCCAAAGCAACAGGGTCAAATGGTCATGGACTGAAAACTTTTCAACCGTGACTAAATAAAATTATTTTCTCCAGTGTTTTTGTTATAGCCATTGGACACTGGGAAACACAAGCCTCTTCTTTAAATCATTATTTCTGAAATTTCAAAAACTGCAGACATTCCCTGTCCTTCATGATCACATGTCACTATGTCCTCATCAGTGGGACCGGCCATCATTGCACCCACACTCTGCGAGGCAACTTCTGCATCATGCCCAGGAACAGAACCCCTATCTACCTCCAATGAACCGTGTTGCCTGCCTCTGCTTTCCAACTGCACAGACCTGTCCCTGGCTTCACTCTCTGGCCTCTAAGAGTTGATGGAATTGATCATAAACAGGACATAAAGGGGTGTGAAATTATCCTTAGATATCAAAGTTAAATGTACTATTTATTGCTTTCTCATCGTTTTATATATGCCTTTTTCTATCACTGTGTTGTGTAGCCTCTCCTTTTCTCTGTCTCTTAAATACTTCAGTTTCTTCCTTTTCCATCATCCCTGGTTATACTGACAGAACACTAAGTCCTGTGTCACCTGCTCACATCCTCCCCATCCCATCGGAGTGGCTCGCAGAGGGGTAGATTTCCTAATATATCCCTAACTCAGGGAAGTTGGAGTCCCCTGGTGTCTCCGAGTGCTTTTGCACAGGCTTCACCACAACGCTACCTCTGGGTCATGGGAATACTCCCAGCCTCCTTCAGAAAATTCCACAGTGATATCTGGCAATATCTCTCTTTCCCTTCCAGTCTTTGGTCCAATTTCTGACATTTTCTATTTTTCTTAATTCTGGTATCCTCTTATGTGCACATAAAACCCTTTGGTGTCCTCTATTCTCCTCTTTAGCTCCTCAGGGACTCAGTCACAGAGATGGTGTCTCAAGAACACAGGGCAGGCTGTAACTCTTACTCATGTGTCTGCATGGCACCGGGGACTGATTTCTCGACGAACAGCAGGTAGCTCAGCCATCCCTGTGGTCTCCTGGAGATGACAGGCTCAGGGTTCCCAGGGAGAGAGAGTGAAAGGAGGCTCTGACTCTAATGGCCCTTTTGACAGAGTATGAATTGGGTGAATGGTCAGAGTGCACAGCTACTGTGGCCTCAGGAGCAACACCCAGGCCACCTACACAGAAAATGAAGGAGACGCTGACAGTGTTGATAGAGGGGAAAAGATGAACACTTACAATGGCCCAGGGAGCTGGGGTACTCCTTCATGTGAGGAGAAGATAGAGTGAAGGAAGGAAGGACCAGTCAGGACAGGAAAGGAAGGCTGGCCCAAGCCAGGCGGGCTCCTATTGCTATCATCTGTCCTTGCACCTGCATCTAGCAGACAGACTTAGGGAGGCTGAGTCTTGCCTTTCTGACATTTCCTAGAACTGAAGGATATAGCATCTGAGCAGAGAGGGCCTAGACCCATTCTGCTACCCACAGAGGGGGCAGAAACTTCTATCAAACATGGCAACTAAGGCGAACAAGTGAAAAACCACAAAACTATGTTCAATAAAGTGTGTGTCTAGGCTCCATGTTATTACATTCGTACTAGTTCCCAGTTGAAGTACAGGAGAGGGTCACAAGCTCTGGTCCATCACGGCAGATTCTCTGCAATGTCCATTTATCATGACTTTTATTTTCTATTATCAGGTCAACCTATCTATTTTGAGTATAAACTTGTCTACATATATGTTCAGGTAAGCCTCTGTGCATGTGTGTGTGTGTGTGTGTGTGTGTGTGTGTGTGTGTGTGTGTGTGTACGGCGTATGCTCATGCATAGGTAAACAGAGTCACTGTGAGTCCACATGAAACAAGAAACAGAGATTTACTTGATGGACAGTGATTTCATTATGCATGCTGTAAAGTCTGTGGACATGCTCACATGCAGGCATTAGGGCCGTTTGTTACTCTGCTGTTTAAGTTATTCTCCTCTTTGAATGTGTGCTTGGGAAATAATTAATGCTCACTGTGCCCAGGGATTTGGATAAATAAAGTGGGAAGGAAATCCCACAGCACCATAAAGTCTCTCCCTTCCCACTTACCCACTGGGAGCTTCAGAAAGGAAGGTGCGTCCCTGAGATACTCCACAGTGACGGTAACATTATCACCAGCATTTCTCAGAAGATGCACCTGTGGAGAAGGTGAGAACAGCACTTCACCATCACAAGAGGACCAGACAGAAGTGAAAAATAAAGTCTTTGTGAATCTCCCCTGCTTCCCAAGAACTCAGTCCACAGTAATCTTGAGACCCTGAAAGTCTATGGTACTAAACTGGAGTAAAGTGTCTATATACACCACAGAGTGCATCACACTGTGTTTTGTCTATATGGATGGACATCAAAATCTGCCACATTTATCCATGAGACAAGGCTATCTGTACGCTCGATAATTTAACGTACCAGAAAGCAAAATCTCATGCATGAGAAGCCAATCTGTTTATACAAATAACCAAGTGTCAGACACTGGCAAAAGACACATCAACTGGGCAAATGTGACATAACCAAGCATAAATATAAATGCCAAAGGTCAAAGGCCACCTTAGCTCTCAGGAACTGGATGGGTATCACTATTACCATGTAACTCTCTTGACTGGAATTGTCCTTGTGGATTTGGTTTCAATCATACATCCTTACATCTACTTCATTATTCACAGAGCCTAAAATGAGCTTTTTGTGAACAATAAATTTGCTTTTGCTTAAATAACTTGTATTAAAACACTATTAATCCACACTCTATGAAGCTGCATTTACTATAATTGATTTGGGCCCCACCATGCCTATGACCACATATTTCTACCGTCAGGTGCTCATCCCACTGTCCCTTTGAACCTTTTCCTCTGTGTGCGCCCTGCACAACTTGTTTGTTCCCTCTGCTCTCACCAGTTTCTTCCTACGTCACGCTCAGCGGTTCTTACTTGGACAGCTACTGTGTAGAATACCACCCTAAACTCTTAGTGGGGCAGGACGACTGGTTGAGAATTGAGTAGAGGTCATTTGAAAGTCCTACGGCCTCTAGCATCCAGCATCCACACCCTTCTATGTCCTTCATGGGCTTTTCCAACTGGCACAGCTGCCTGTCCAGCACCACCATTCACTGACTTCTCCCAGACCCATGAAACTGACCAGACCCTCTGAGGGCAGATGTGTCAGGTGTGTTTCTCCCTATGACCACATGGACCTGTACATTACCTTGCCTCATCCTTACCAAGGACAAGGCGAAGCTAATCTAACTCCATCCTCTTTTCTCCGAAGCCTTCCCTTGACCTGTTGCTTAGTTGGGGGTACACTGACGGGGCAGAGAGAAGGACATAGCACTTGGGTCTTTTCCCTTGATAGGTACCTGTCCCCAAATGTTCAGTCTGCCGTCAGAGATCTAGTAGTTCAAACAGACCAGAAGCAACCCACAAAACGAGCAAAAAAAAAAACAAACCCAAAACCTTGTTGACACTGGAAAGAGAGGAGGCTGCTGGGATGTCCTCTGTGCTGGTGCAGATCTCAGGAGAAGGTGACCCATCTGCACTGGCTCCCCTGGCCAGTCCAAGGAAGTAGAACTTTCTTTTCTTGACAAGTGGATTCAAGGATGGGCTGAGAAAAGCCTAGTGTGCCCATGTCCTCTCTCTGAAGCAAAGGACCTGCCTTGCAAACTTCAACTCAGGGCACCTTGTATCTGCGCACCAGACACATGAGGGTGAGGCAGGGGACAGTCACAAAGACCGGAGAGTGGACATCTGCTGTGATGCCCTGGGTCCTGAGAGTCAGTGCAGGTTAGTTCTCAAAGAACATGCCCAGGACTGTTGGGATTTGTGAAGCCCAGGCTGTCACAGCCCTGAACACCTTGCCCCACTTCCTAGACAGCACAACCAGGCTATACTGGCCCCTGGTCAGTTTGTTTTGTGCTCCTCTTTGCATGTGTATGTTTGAAATAGTAAATTTAATATTTAATAATTCAATTATTAAATAATTGAATTATTAAATTATTAAATAAAATGTAATTTAAATCTATCCCATAACCTTCTAAAGCTATTCTGTAGTACAAGTGTGGTTTGAAGCATTAACATCTGTGATGACATATTTACACAAGTCTCTATGTATCTCAATAGACAAGCTCATTTTGTTTGAGAGTAACAGCCATCCATGAAGAGAAGGGCAGAATTGTCTGAAACACTCAAGTACTTTATTTTAATTAAAGGTTAGTGTCGATTTCTCAAATCTCAAAATGCTCACATGCCCTGATGCTTCAGCATAAGATCTGGATGAGACACAGGCTTTGATTTGCCAGCAACCCTCCTCCTCCTCTAGGTCAAAGTCTGTGAGTGGAGCAGGGGGGAAAATCAGTTCATAATGACTATAGTCCTTCTGCCTCAGCAAATAACTGCCTTGCACTGGCAAGTGTTGAGAGACTGGACCTCAGGTCTCTGAGGCAGCAGTTCCTACAGCCAGCAGCAAACCACAGTAGCCTTTTGTAATCAATGCTGTTCCCAGAAGACTGACCCCTTGGGCCACATCCTATTCATGGTGCACGCTGCTCTGGGCCAGCTGTTCCAACCTCCAGCCATGCCATCAAGGTAAGCCACATGTTCATCCTTCTTAGAGAGGATTCTACATCTTAATAGGTTTTTCTTCTACCTAGGACATCCCTTACATGAGATCACCAGTGGCTGCGTTTTTGGGGTCTTCAGATCCAAATCAGAAAATGATCATCACAAGTTTTCTTCTCAGGGCCTGGGTCCTGGAGGTGGGCCTGAACTCATCATGCTGGCTGATGTCACAGGTTGGTTCCTATGACACACTCTTCTGACTTGCAGTGGGGGAGTGCTGTGTGCTCACTAACAGAGAGAAGCCAAGTTGGAGTCTTCTTATAAAGGCCCCATTCCCATCATTACAGCCACACTTTTGACCGTTACCTCCCAAGAGCCTCCTGAGGCCACCAACATATGACTTTAACAGACACAAACACTCAACCCATAAACAGGGACTGATAACTACCCAAAGTGAGGACTCTGGGACCTCAGTACAGTTTTCTGAGGGGCAGATTTCCCTGACATGAGTCTGAGTCAGGCACTCCACGTGCTTACACGTGGGTAGTTTCAAAAGCTTTGAAAACATGCAAAGAATACACAGCTTTCACCACTATTCCCATCTGAGCCTTGGAGACACTTTGGCAAGGATGTTTGTAGAGACTCTTCTCCATAAGGGCAATTTGGCTCTGACTACCAGAATTCACTAGCATGCTTTTGTCCAGTGATTGCAGGATATCAGCCTCCTTGGAGCACACAAGTATGGCTGATGCACCATGACATGATTTACTCCATCTTCTCCATTTTTATGTGAACAGGCACATGCCCCGAACCCTGGCAGGTTGCCTTCTCTATCTAAAGCAACTACCTTAGGCTTACTGAGCTCTTGTCAGCTCATGGTTTTCTGGCACTTTGGGGCACTTGTGTCTGATTCAGGAATGATCCTTCCTTAATTGATACAGTCAGCCTTTGATTGCCATCTGCAGAGTAGATTTGGTACTCCATCCCACTGACGTCTTCATTCACTGGTGCCTCTCTTGGCATTGTTAAAAGCAGGAAACCTGGCTAACACTGCTTCCCTCACTGCCCCATGCTTTCTCTTTTATAAACTTGCACATCCATCTTTGTAATTTCTTTGAGTTCCTGTGTTATTCGTGCTTTACATTCCTGAGATACAAAATGGCTCATTTTACTTTCTTGCATGTTTGAAAGCTGCTAACCTACTTCCAGTACTGTTTAGCCATGTTTGATATGAAGTGTTTCAATATTGTTCATGTTATTTTTGTGATTAAAAATTTCTTTTCATGTGTTTCAAATCTTTTTAACAGTTTGTATTTCAGAAATATGATCATTTTGTTGAATGACCATACTAGACTTCTTTTTAAAAAAATATTTTATTTATTTATTCATTTATTTTATTTTATGTATATGTGTGTATTGCCTGCATGTAGGTGAGTGCACCCATGTCATACAATGCCTGCGGAGGACAGAAGAGGCCATCGGATCCCCTGGAACTGGAGTTTTGGACAGTTGTTAGCTGCCATGTGGGTGCTGGGATTCGAACCTGGGTCTTCTGCAAGAACAACCAGTGTTCTTAACAACTGAGCCATCTCTCCAGCCCCCAATATTGGACTTCTTTGCGGCTTAAACTACTTTAAATGTTCCAGGTATTCCTCAAAGAATGCAAGTTTTATGTCGAATACATATGCGAACACACACACACACACACACACACACACACACACAAACATATTCATGCACATACCCTTAGTCATACTAACACAGAGACACACACACATACACTCAGATACACCTATTTTTAAAATTAATTTGTGTTGCCTCTATAAATTCTCAAATTCTGCTTTCATATGATCTTAACAAAAAAGAAAAAGAAAAGTTTACTTTCAGTTACTCAAGTTTAGTTTTAGCACCAGGGCACTTTGAATGAAGAAGATATTTTATCACAAATGATTCATGTAATCCTTGTGGCTCTTTAAGTGAAAAAAATAGTGGCTTTTGCAACTGAATCTCTGACCTGGACATCAAACTTTTTAATGGCATCCTGAGGTGGGAAGTGGTTGATGGATAGGACACTAGGCCATGCTGGCAAGACCAGGTAACCTGGGGACTTCAGCCTGTATGTCCAGAGTCATACGAATTTGAAAAACATATCTGTGCTTTCCTTAATTAAATGATTCATGAAATGCCTGTCCTACAGCTAAAATTTCAGCCTCTTCCCACTTCCCAACCCTAGCTCTGCAACACGGGTTCAGAACATCCATGGGAGAGATGGAAGGGTCATTCGGAACTTTCTTCTTTACTTTGAGTACAAAAGTGAGTTATTTCAAAGTTTGAGAGAGCACATCACCCAAAGAGACAAAACTGCATGGGGGCCATGGAAAAAACACTAGCTCACGTCCTTAAAAAAAATACAATGGAAATCTTTTTTAAAGGTTAAAAACTCATTCAATTTTATGGCTTACAGGGCTTATACTGAGTTCAATACTGTATAACTGTATTAATTCAACAGCAAACCTAAAAATTTTATAACCATTTTGAAAGAGATGTATATTTGCTCTGGAAACTGTTATTGAGTATGTTAAAGCTGTGATAA